AATATTCATCATATTTCACCCCATATATTACCGGCATGTGTGTTCAACCTGGGACGAATAATACCATATATAGGTCTATATATGTCATAATAATTTTATTTGCTACTGTCCCTTTAAGCTCCCACCTTTCACGTTTACGGGCAAAGTTGAGATGCTGTTGTTGCATCTCCTTAACCATACGCCATAGTCTCCTTCACGTTTGTAAATCCATGTTGAGTGTCGCAATTGAGAGGGCACAACGACAGTGAGTATATACATAGATTTGCTGATGGAGCTGTCGAGGGCTTCTGGGGTACTACCCCGTTCTGGAGATTAGCGTTATTAATAATGAGAAGTGTGAGGCTATGAGCACAAAGTGTGGAAAAGCGTGTCATTTTTAGTAGATTGTGTTAATCCACTCAAGTGGCAATATTTTTCCCAAGTGACATTTTGAATTTCAGAATATTGAGCAAACAAATATATGTTGTAACTTGATCAACTTTTTTTGTCAGATATTAAATTATTTTCAAAGAATTTCTGTGAAAAGGCTTTGTATGCTAATTTCAATGGAAAGGATTATAGTTAATGAATGTTAAATCAATTTAATGTTATTTATTTTTATTTCTAACAATGTTATCCTGAGAAAGTAAATGTCATTTAAGTTTTTTATTTCTTTTAGAATAGTCCCAGTATAAAATACAAAACATGAAGTACTTTATTGTAATTTTCATCAAACAATACAGTAAAGAATCAGATTGAATTTGAACAAATTCTTACAGAACATTCAAGAATGGATTTAACCAAAAAAGGCAAATGGACTAAATATACAAATTCAGATGGATTATTTTAAAACAATACCAAAAATTGAAAAGTTAATTAAAACGTTACTTACAATATGAGAAACATAAAATCAGAAAAACATGACATGCATTTAAAAGCCACAAAAGTGAAATTGAAAGATTGAAAAGAAAAATCATTAATAGAAATATTTTTATATTATTTCATCTTTTTTTATTATTGAATATGAGGTGATAAATTATTGTAATTTATTGATAATCTACTGTGTGAATAATCAGGAGTTTTGTGGTTACGATACACACATTCTAATTCTATGATCCTGGGTTGAAGTCAGTCAAAACTTAACATGTTCCCTAAAGGCAAGCAGGCAATTTATATATCATTCACTCAAAAGATAAACTCCTACAAGAAGCATGAAGTAAATGCTACGCAAGCCTTTTATTTCTAAACAGATCAACATCATCTTTAAAAAAAAGCTTGAGTCCCAGGAATATCTCCTGATTTAAGGTTTAACATAATAGGGGTGTAGGGTGGTTTCATCCTGGGGGGGGGGAGGGTGCGAAAATTGAGAATGCAGAGCTAAATTCCTATTCCTATAAAAATTTAACAGTCATTTTTAGTATTATAACTCACTTAGTGGAACTAATTTGTTGCTGTTTTCCCCTTCCCCCTCCTCCAGCAAACACTCATGCATATAAGCCTACTTTATCTAGAAGACCATAATTATTGTACTGTGGTGTACATGGTTATAATGAATAAATTCTGCACAGAAGATGTATCTAGGCAGATAGTGAAAATAAACACGGAGAGGCTTTATAAACTAAGATTAAAGTTTTCTTTGTATAAATAATAAAAGTACTATAATGATAAGGCCATATTTATGGGGCATAGAATTGGACTTCAATTTGGGGATAGGGCTGGGCATTTTTTCCCAAAAACCAAATAGAAAATATCCTAATGATAAACAAATAAATTAACCAAGTTATTGCAGATATTCAGTTAAGTGCTCTGTACAAAAAAATTACAAAATTAAATAGTTTGGTTTCCAAAGCAAAATATTGCACATTATATAATTTGATTACCAATTTAAGTTTACTAATATTAAATAGACCTATATGCATACTGTAACCGATTATTAAATATATTTTACTGGAAATGAGCCTCATCCTTGTTGGACAGTGTTGAAATTGATTGATTAATTGATTTACAGTTATCTTTTGGGATTAAAAGTGTACATGTTGAACTAACAGATAACCTCAAAGAGGTGTGAAGATTAGCTTTGATAAGAAGGTTTGTGGACAACCTATCGTGCTTATCTGTTAATAGACTGTGATCGATGGTGCTGTGGTCTACTATGATCACATCAATGTTGACACTACTCTATTAATTGCTCATTGTTTATTGTGAGAATAGTTTATTAATGATATTATTTATACATGTTTCCTAATGACACTCAAGTAAATATATTTTTGTTTATTATGTTTACTTTTTCTCATACTTAAAGTCTGTAGGGCTTATTAGTATTATTCAGATAAAGACTGGTAAACAAGGGTGATATCTACAATGCCATTAGCCCTATTTGTTTTGACTTGGACTCATACTTTTGGTATAATTGTGCTGATATTAATACATTTAATTCTTTCAATTGAAACCCCTTTTAATTCTATATGCTATCTTTTATTCTAATACAACTATTTTAATGTATTGACAGTGTTTTCATGCCTTTTTTGGTGGAGTGGTGGGGATGGTTGATATTTCAATTAAATATAAAAAGTATTGAAATGAAGAGAAAAGGTATGACACTGAACAAAAGTTATTGATAAAGATATCTTGATTTTGTATTGTAGTGAAGTTGATTTTACTAAGAATTTAAACTGTTTATTTATGTGTTCCACATTTTCAAATTAAGTTGATCAAATATTCAGAAAACAACAGCATAAAAGTGGCATCTTCAGAAATTTAGTATCTACTCTGTTACAGACCCATTTCTAGCCACATTCAAGACCTAACTTGAGAGGAATCTCAGATAAGTGTTACGTCAAGCCAACTTTGGTGTTTTATTTTTTTCAAAAGGCATTATTTCATGGGAGTTTAATGGCCTGTGACTCTAGCCCAGTTGATGTGATGTTCCCAGGAGGGGAATATCAATGAATTGTCAAGATACAAAACCATGGTTACCAACAAAATCAAGATATATAGTAAAATGGTGTCCCATCCGGATTTCTTTTTAAATAGGTCAAAGGAAATCACCTAAAATCACCTTATTTTATTCAAGCCCCCTCCCCACTTCACCGTCGCGTCCACCATCAGCACCTCCATTTCAATAGATACGCCACTGTGATCCTCTACCCTTCCTTCTAACAGTCATTAGAAATTCGTTGAAAGAAAAATGACACTCAAAAATGAAGTTAAAATCACCCCATTCTCCATGTGCCTCCTATTTTTCCCCTCAATGGTTAAAGGATTATTTCAAATCTTAATTCTAATTATGTAATATTACTAAGTTATAATGTATCTATTTTTAACATATAGGCCTATCACCTTCTCCATTCCCTCCCTTCTATTTTTTTTTTTTTTGTAATTCAGTTTTTTAAGGAAATATTTTAAAATCAACTTGATAATAATGTTTTTCAGTGTTCCATATGTCAATGATATTATATAGGCCTACACAGATGGACTTTTCTAAAAAGGATTATTTGAATCTTCTTATTGAATTTTTCTAATATTCTAATTTATGCACCCATTACCTTTGCATGTCTTGTGCAATTGACATACTTCTTCACTTTTGACCAACCAACACTTTTTATGTCGAGTACAAAAATTTGTAGTAAAGTATACTTATTTTTGATGGTTCAATCTCCTTTATATTTATGAGAAAGTCAATATTAAGTGGGGCAATGCCGACAACCTTTTTATATACTCTGTGGTCAAGTGATGTATTTTTAACCTCAATGCTGTGTACTTTTGAATTATAGTGTATTTTTTGTGTAGAATATTACCAACCTATATTGGTTTTGTTTTCAGACCAAAATTAGAATCAACAATACAACATTTATAAAATAAGTAAATTTAGTGTCTTTTATTTACACATTTTTGTGATAATATGTAATTATGTGTAATAATCATAAAAATGTGTAAATAAAAAGCAAACAAAATTTACTTATTTTATAAATATAATACTATTAAAAATGCAGATAGTTGAGTGGCATGAGCTACATCAGACAGTATGGTCCCAAGTGCTCAATATTATTTTAGTTTAATAATTATTCACTAAATACAGTTTTTTTTTGACATCCATTATTATGTCTAATATTGCTTATGTTAATATATTTATGAAGACAGCGTAGGCACTGTTGGTCAATGAGACAATGGCCTTTGAACAAACATCTGCTATCCGTTGGTTCAACGTCACATTTAATAATAAATATCAACTAAATAAATATTACCTAAAACAGTTCAGCATTTTTATTTTATTCAGACATTGCCTCTTGACTCTTCCTATTGGTCATTAGGACAAAGATCATTGCCTCCTGACTCTCCTATTGGTCAACAAAGATCTTAGCTATTCCCTACTCAACAACAAATCCTTTTATCTTTAAATAATAATAGCAAAATTATATAGGGCAATGTTAATTTTCTTTCAAAAGGTTAACATTTGTTAGTTGTTTGCATTTTTGTCAAAAATGTTTAAACAAAACATGTTTGTGTCTAATTAATAAATATTAAATAAATTATATTTATCTATATTGAATACAACATTTGTGTCATTTATAATCAAAGCAAAATTATGTAGGGCATTGTCATTGACTTTTTGTCAGAGAACATTCGTAGGTTATTTTTATCCCAAATTCGTATCAACATGTTTTGTGACTTTTAAGTGTAACATTTATTAATAAATTCATTGTGTTTTTAAACTTTTGATATTAGTGATAATTAATTGGTTATAAAAAAAATTATAAGCGTTGCATGAACAATTGGTGACAAAGTGTTTGACCCTTTAACTACTTGGCTTAACGTCCCACATTTGATTTTGTCTTTATATAACCTATGAGTTCTCAAAGTAATCATTGATCATATTTCTATATATTTACCATATATTATTATGTAAGTTCCCTGAATGCTTGAGTCATAGCCAAAGCACTGGTAGTGTATTCCAGTTTTTCAGCAATGATATAGTACATATAATTAATATAGGCCTGTATTTTTTGTTTTATTTCTTCTAGGTTCAGGATCCGTCTACACATTCGGAGGTGGTCTGAATGGCCAATTGGGTCATGGACAGGATGTACGCTATCTGCAGAACCCTCGTCTTCTTCACCGTGATCATTTTAACGGATGTCGTATTTCTTTAATTCAATGCGGGGAACAGTATAGTGCTGCCCTTACTGGTGAGTGGTTGGGTGATGAACTTATTTTTGTATTCTAAACACTTATTCAGTGTTCTTCCTTGAGGTCCAGAGACAAAATTCTTAAGTATTAATTTGAAAGAAAAATCATAGTAATATTCAAATATAGAGACAGCATTGATGGCAGTATCCCCACACCCCCTTAGAATTAGAAGAAAAAAAAGTATCAACTAAAATTTGCAAACAGAATTACACTAAAAAATTTCATACCACCTCTTTTTCTCAGCTAGCATCCTCTCACTTTCCTATTATTCCCCATTCTTCTTTCTGATCTCCTCTTCCCCTTCACGCATCCTTCATATGCAACTAGTTAAGGTTAATTCTCATACTGGTTAATAACCATTCAGTTCAGTTGTCAGGTTGTTTAGCATGTTGACTTAACTAGTAAGATTTTTTTTTGTACAAACTTTATAAACAAAAAAGTGAATGAAAATTTGTATCTTTTCCTAATGCCAACCAAATGCTTGTTGCAGTGTCATCAACTTTAATTTACAAACGACTAGCACTGTCAGTTACTTTATACAAAACCAGTATAATATTCCGAGTCAACATTTCACAAGTATGTTGTATATAATTATACGTACCATGTTTATTGTTGAGGTTAGGTGGCATCTAATTTGATGGAGTCATAATTTTTGGATTTGCTTAATAACATAGTTTTCTCGATCCAACAGAGAATGGCCAGTTGTACATGTGGGGGAAGAATAGTCAAGTGATTCCGCTAAAGGACGAATCAAAGAGCAGCTTATATGTCCCTGAAAGGGTTGACATTGGTGAAAAGCGTTTGCGGCTGTTAGCATGCGGTTCATGGCACGCCATCGCAGTCACAGGAGTACCAGGTGATTGTTGATATGTTACTCTGTTTGCTGTCCATACTTCTTCACCTTGATTCATTTGATTGCTGTGGATTTTCATTTCTTCATTAACAGTCTGAAATTTTGCTTTTACTTTTTCTGAGAATTAGTTAATGTTTTTAGGCAGTGGCGTATCTAGGGGTACGAGGGCGGCGCACGCTCCCCAAAAAATATTTGCATCCTCCCCAGATAAAATCACACTCGTCCTCAAATCACTAATTTATTTTGCAAGCTAGCACCCTCGCTCACCTAATCATTGAGCCCCCACTTAACCTTCGGGTTCCCCATCAGCCCCCCCCCCCCACCATTTTAGGACTCCTAGATATGCCACTATGTTTAGGTACTAAAAAAAATGGAATTTTAGAAGATAAGATAATTTGCTTCTAATTCATTTTAGCACATAATCCTTTCTGTTCTAGACAATATTTTAAATAATTTGGACACAAATTGATTAGCCTTTCCTGGAATCTGATTTAAAGTTGTAGTGTTAATAAAAGTAAAAACTTGGGGTGCAGCGGTAGAATTTTGTACTTTCAATTGAAGGATACAGGGTTCGAATCTGAGCTAGACAACTGTCTGTGACCTTGGTTAATGAACTGGAAAGAGTGTACCTGGTAGGATTAAATGTCAATGTGGTAATTACTAGAGCTCTAGAGTTTTCCATATATTAAAGAAATAAATTTACAACATATATTTATGCCCCTAATTTGTGTCTGCTTAGAAAAATTCCTTGGACTTTAATACACTTTCTATAATAATACACAAACATATAAAAAATTACATTACCGATACCTCCTATGAAAGTAATGCACAACTCACCAATGTCGTATCTGTAAGGCTTAAAATGTTGTGTTATTATTAAGTAGTCTTACTGTAAATTCTGTCTATATCTAGTCTAGACTAGTTTTTTAGTACAATTATACTCCACCTTACATTAATTAATGTGCTACTATTATATCGTATAATTAATATTAATAGTACATTCTGTTTATTGTGTCTCATTATTTATTATAAATTGATATTTCTCTTCATGTTTTCATTTTTGTTGTTGTCATTAACATTAATATGCATTCTTTGTAATAATAAGCTAGCTTCATTTTTTCCTTCTAACATCATGATATTAAGTATTGTCAAAATATGTATTTTCATAATATGTAATAACTTAAAACCAAAATGTAATTGTGCTTCCCATGTTTTGCATGTTAATTTTAAATATGTTGATAGATTATTAGATTTAGGCAGATATATTAATTAGTTAAGGTTCTTAAGAAATTTAGATTTTGCCATAGTTAACACAATTATGAATTTACTTAGTAGTAAGGACCTTTACCCAGAAGGTGCTAGGTTCAATATTGACAAAAAGTTTAGGACTTTTTCACAACCAAGCCTTGAAGTATTTATGATAGAGAATACCAAATAATCTGCTTTACTGAATGTACCCTTGTTTAATATAGAATTAAAAAACATTTATGAATAATTAAGAATGTCTATGCTATTAATATTGACCTGCTATATATAATTTTACATATAAGGAATTATATTGTATGTTTGCTGTAGGTATGCTAAATAAAATTTCAACAAAAACTTATTTTTAAAAAAGCAATAATTATATAGTATCAGCATATAAGCTAGCAATAAATAGGCCTAATTGTTTTTAAACTTGTGTTTACTTAATCACACTGTACAAAACCAATTAAAAGCTATGGTGAAGGATCAATATTCATGATTTTTAGATTAAACATTAAAATTCATGATTTAAATTTTAAAATATTAAAAAGGAGAAAATTAAATATAGAAAATTAAAAATAGTATCACCATAGAAACTGTAACGACACTTTTGATCAATCAAATTTGTGGCCCTGAACTTTGACATTATAATATCATATCATGAATCAATGAAATGTAATAGGTTAAAAATGTTTTATGAAAAATTGGAGTAGTTATTGTCTAGATCAGTCATGGAAATTGTCTGGCTGTTACCTGTCAAAAACAACATTTAATATTTTGTTAGCATAGAGCAGCCCTGATGACTAAAGCCCAATTTACTAATATCATGCACATCAATATGTGATTTTTAATACTTCAATGATGAGAGTATTTTGAACATTAAAGAAAATGTACAATGTTACAAAATCAAATAAGGAAGTCTAGGATTTAGGCACGAGCAGTGCCTCTGGGTATACGAGGCAACAGTATGCGCAAGCTGATTCGAAAAATCACTTAATTTCGTTTACAAAAAAATTTACTTGCTTTAAAACGTGATGTGAGTAGGTACGTTATAATGTGCTGAAATTTATTACTTAGATGATTTTCTAAAGTGTCATTGAGAGATGCACATGACCAGTGACTGAAAAATATCCGGATTTAATTGCAATAGGGAAGGTGGAGTCGCACATCAACAGTTATTACATCAGCGATCATTATCAGATCCAAAAAAACTTACTAAATTAGAACCAATTACCCGTGAACAAAAGCAGCTCTTTTGATTGGTTGACCTACCAGTGACGACTATTTTAAAACTGAACCAAATATTATGGCCATGAATTTTGCACCCAAAGACCTTTGATCCTTTGTTTCGCATTTTTTAAGGGCACTTTTGCCCGTAAAAATTTTACATTATTTTAAAATTTTAATATCCTAATAAACTGCGTTTATGAGTATGTCGGTTAAAGTTTTGTATGATTTATCGGGTAAATTATCAAAATAAGCCTCAAGGTTAGATGGATTAGAAATTTTATTGTAAACAAATTGGCTTCAATTTAGTTTTTGTTATCATCAGAAGGAAATTGTAAGGATTCCTCGTTAAAAAAAATGGGTGGTGAAAATATAGGCTGCGAAATTGTTGACGTGTCTCCTGATTATCAGATGATTTAGGCATCTAGTAAATTGGGATAGCAGTTTGGATTCAAGGTGGGATATACTGGCTGTAAGCAATGCCGCGTACTGGTACTTAAGTGACTTGCACGGTGGCAATTTTGACGTCCCTTGCGATGACATGCTAACACAAGGTTTAACCTATAGGCCATATGCGTAAATTTAATGATGTGTACCCTATGACAGTTGTCTCTTATACACATCTAGATGTGTATAAGAGACAGGTTTAATATAGACTCTACCTCAGCTAAGACCGTTTGTAGCACATCATGGTTAACAGTCTGTTGTCTAAGAACACTATACAATGTTTTTCTCACTGACCTTATTAGGCGTTCCCAAACACCTCCAAAGTGACTGGCTGAGGGAGGGTTGAAGTGCCACTCAACTCCCTTGGTGTGAAAAAATTCTTCCACGATGTTTTGATTCATTTCAGCTAAGGCATTTCTGAGTTCCTTTTCGCCTCCAACAAAGTTAGTTCCATTATCGCTGAATAATTTTGAGGGCTCGCCACGTCTCGCAACAAATCGTCTGTAGGCATTTATAAATGAGTCTGTACTTAACTTTAAATGTCATACAATACATTAGGGATAAAGCACTGCGGTATGCCCGTTAAAGGCTCACTTTCTAATAGCAAGATTCTAGGTTCAATCCTGAATACAATTTTTTTTTTTTATTTATCGAAAAAAAAAAAAAGAAAAACAGTTTTACTCCTTAAGAAATATAAAGACTTCTTACTAATGAGTTCTGTGGACCATCCTTGTTGAATTAAATTTAACTGACTTGTTATACAGTCGTAGTAAGCCTATGCAGATACAGCACTTTAGTGTATAAGTTGTTGTTAATAATGACCAATCTTAGATCCTCTTTAAAAGTAGTGTATGTTCTCTTACACCAAATGCTATTGGTCAAACGATTAAGGCCTGATAGAAAATTGTTGTTACCCAAGCACAGTGGAATTTGAAAGTCAGGGCTGGTCAGTTGCCATTTCTGTTTTTCTTTTGTTTTTTTTTCCACATTTTTATTGGCCTAGCATCACCTTATTTCATTTATTTAAGGGGCCCTGAATATCAGCCAACCTTCTAAGATACGCTCTTTTGTTCACCCTCTATAAATATGGTTTGAAAAAAAGTTTAGGGTTATTGTCAACATCACTCTTCTAAAGCATTTTGGTTGGTAAAATTGTAACCACAGGACCATGGTCCTGGATAAGGTATCAAATTTATTAATTAGGCCTACAGATTTGACAAGTGTCCATTTGAAACGTAGAAGTATTTTGTGTTTTACCTTCATAAGAAAAATATAATTTACCCTAAAAAAGCCAACCTTGCATTCAGGCTTGGTAGTTGTTTTGGCCTTATGATATAATTCATTGTTGTTAGAATACATTGTAATTTCTTCCACAGCATTACTAATAAATCTTGTAATATCATTGCATATTTAATGTTTATATAACATAACCATAACTCTATTTTTCATTATATTTTCTTTATTATCTATTATAATTCTACATGAAACATAGTTATTGTCAGATTTATTAATAAATCTTACTAACTGTGTTTCATAATTAATTATGTTAATTGTCATTAATGATTAAAAGGACAATCAAAGTTGTTGTTTCCTATTTGTTTTTGTTGTTTCTTTCCACTCTTTCTTGCAAACTTATATTTCAAATATATATACGTATATTAATAATTTTTAATCTAATGAGAATATGGGTAGATCAATGTGCTAAACAATCTGATTATTAGTATCATTAATTTTCTTATTAATCTTGTAATTATTTTTACTATCATCATCAACATTATCATCATAATTCTTATGATTATTATTATCATCATTATCATCACCACCATTGTTGGAGTAACAATTTAAACAAGGATAATGAAATAGTCCGGGACATGGATTTCAACAGGTTTGTTTCAAGAAAGTAGCACAATGTTAGAGACTAGGAAACAATATTTAAGACTACTTCCAATGTGTAAACATAAGATACAATTAAAATCAACAAACTCTGTTCCTGGAATGTGATATCTGATAATTAATTTATATACAATTTGATACCAAATTAGTTATGCGAGACGGTCCCGCATTTCAAATGATTTTGGATAACA